GAAATTAATGCAAACTATGCATTTAATTAAATAATGTATCCTTTGCCAAGTTATACATACAACTTAAGAACAACTGGGGAAGTTTCAAGGTGATATCTATTAGTTAAAATTTTACCTTATTCACCTGAGGTGTCTCCCCTTAAGAAAAAGTTAAAATTCTCTGATTCCCGCTTCTTGAATGTGACTATTTTCTGGTTCCTTTACTCCTTGGTGACAGGAAACTGAATGTCTTTGGGTTGTGGATCAAGCGAGAAATTTGAGGACGTCAACTTTTGCTTTGGAAAACACTGATCAATATTTTTCACCATTTTCTGACATTTTACAGACCAAACAACTAATCGAAAAATAATTGACAATAAAAATAATCATTAGTTGAAGCCCTACTGTCAGTGTTTGACAGGTGAATTCGTCTCTGGTTTCCAGGGTCAAACATGTTGCAAAAGTAGCTTCCTCATAGCGTTCTTAGTAACTTAACAAATCCCCTTGAAAAAAAAAAAAAAACACGTAGTCATTGCTTCATAAATAGGTTACTGAAGCTGTAGCAAGAAGACCATTGTTCAAACATTACAACAGAACTATTGTGAAGTCAGTGAAGGGTCACTGAGGGGGGGCGAAGAAGTCAGAGGTGAACACGCCCTCCCTACAATAACTGAGTGAATCACACTCATTCACTAATTAACTTAACTGAACATGCACGCGAGTCCACTGTTAGTGGACAGCCCAGTGTAGATGTTTTATAATGCTGACGTGATCACTACACTCAAACAACAAGCGAAGTCATACCTTACACTGCATAATTATTATTGCTCATCAGTGCAAACATACATTTGCCACAACGATGAAAACATATCATTATATGTTAAAGACTGAACCTATTTGTTTGCAGGGCTCTGCCTTTAGCAAATGATCAGGTTCCTAATGCACCGTCTTTATGTGGAAAGTCAGGACCTGGTGCAGAAGGCAAACTGCATCCTAACCCTGCATGGTGGGAGCAGTTCAACTCATCCAAGAATAATCTGTTATCAGATTTCATTAAATGGTACGACGGCATTTTATCAGATGTTCTCAACCAAAAGGAAAAGCCATATCGACTTCTTCCTGTTAGAGTAAAAGTCTTGAGGGATTCCTGGAGCCATGCAATTAAGTGAAAACCCTGTCTAACTAGTGGTTGAGCTTTAACTGGAAACATGCACAAAGCATCAGGAAATAGCAGCGTTGCTGTGGAGAAGCACTGGACTTGACTTAATTGTTTTAAATCAATGGTATTTTGAGCATTGTACGTGCCTGTGTGTAGCTTGAGATCTATTCAAATTATTTGAGAAATCGTACGTGCAACAGGAGAGCAATCCCAACTACACGGCATTGTATATATCTGTATAGGGTGGAGCAGGAATAATTCCTAATCCAGGAAATGAGTTGCATTTTTGCACTCTCAGTTTCCTTGTCTCGAAGTCAGAGGAATTTTTGAGTAGTTTTCCGTTAGACGCCTTAAATAAGGTCTGTGGTTAACAAAGGTTCAGCGACTTTCACGTATTGTTCTACGACAAATGTACGACATTTTGAAGCCTTTACATGTCTTTAAAAAGACGGTTGCTAACAAGTGGCTAATGAGACTACAGAGGGTCATCCTGCTAAACACAGCGTTACAGCCTCTTTGCGGTGACAACGTTGAAGCCATGCCACAGTAGTGTAGTTCATTTATAGCATAACATTAGTTTTCTACTTCAGGTGATTGGACATACGCTTCAAAAAAAAAAAAAAAAAAAAAATCACATAAGCGATGTTCATTTGTGGAGATTATCTTGCTAAAGAAAACATTTAGGCATCAAACACACAGAGCTTATTTTCTGCAATAATCCAAATCCGATGGAAGAATACTTTTGGCATTTTGACGAGGCCACCAAGGTAAAACTAACTTTGGTGTCGCCCTAGAAAAATGTGTCAGCACTCTATATGTAGATACAAATCATTACTTCAATTAAATTATTATCACATAGTGTACCCTTTCATCATAGTCAGAGACAACAGAACAACCTGCAGCTCACTGGTGTCAATTGTATCACCAATAAGCTGGTTTACTTTGTAAATAAACACTTGGAAAACTGACAATTATACGGTTTAACAAAAGGTTATTATAGACATGTACAAAGCAGCATAAGATATTTTCTAAGACTCGATTGATTAGATAATTCCTCAAATTAAGAAATTTAATGTCAAATGTTTCTCTCTGATTAAAATCCTCTTGAACATTATCACTTTTAAAAAGTGATAATGGTGGCAAAAACTTTTTTAACATTCAGGGCTTAACGAGAGAGATCATCCGATTGCCTGGAGGAGGAACAAAACCTCGCTGGACTAGTAATTCCAACACCTCACTTGCCTGTGGTAAAACAGAATTTAACAGCTTTTGTTTTGTAGTGCTGATGATGAAAGTAGACAAAGACTGAGTCATCTTGCTTTCTTCTCATTTCAGTTGGAAGCTGCACATGTATAGTACTGATCGGGTACTTCCTAGAAAATAGCAGCCAGTAATGAAAATTTCGAAACTGAGGTGTCCTGGAAACAGGAGTTTGGTTGGGTGATGTTAGAGGATGTGGGTGAAGCTACATGTTGCGCAATGTGTTGTAAGTTTGAGAGCAAGAAGGATGAAACGGTTGTTTTAAAGGCACATCAAGATGAGGATTAAACATGACAATTAACTAGTTTTGTTGTTTTTTGAGAACTGCTAATAAGTAAAACAATTTGGGCACATAAAAGTTGACTTTGGGACTGATGTTGACACTGACACTAAATCACACATTGGTCTAATCCTGCTGGCATCTTGCAACATAGCCAAACTATTTCCACCCCATTTTGTCCAGTTTTGCAGAGTGAACTCAGGCACAGACAGACAGACAGACAGACAGACAGACAGACAGACAGACAGACGGATAGACGGACGTAGGAAACTCTGTCGAGGGGGGAAAAACTTAGGTGTGGTGGACAAATACCAGCGGTGAGAAAAGGGAACAAAGATAGGGGTAGCACGAGAGGAGAAGGGGAGAGGGGTCAGGGGTGCGGAGGAGTCATTGTGCCGTGGGGGAATCATGTGAGAGTCACATTGGGGAAAAGCTCCAAGTAGCTCATGGGAAAAAAAGACCAAGAAGTAGAACAGTGTGGCAGACAAATCCCATTTATTAGGGCCTGCACAAGTATTTCTATTACAGCAGGACATTCTGAATTACAGACCTGAGCTGCAACACAGAGGAGACAATGAAAACTTGTCAGCTTTAGGTAGATTTTTTTCTGTAGTGCATGTTCTGGTGGTCACTTTAGTGGGTCCTACCTTTATATGCAGGGGATCCACCGAGCAGCACCACATTGTGTGCATGTCACACAGCCTTTGTGGCAGTATGGAGATAGATTTGTCTCAGCGTTTTTATGTGAACGCATCAACAGTCTGTGTGTTAATGTGTTATCTGTAAATATAAAACAAATTCTACAAATACAAAGATTTGTAAACTTAAAAAAAATATTTTGCAAATATGAAACGACTCTGCAAATACCCAAATTCCAAAACTAAAAAAATAAAAAGACTCGGTGTGCATGAAATAAAAAGCTGCAGGCACAGAATTGAGATTCACAAATAAAAACTGGATTCACAAATATCTGTTCGCTAGCTGAAAATGCTAGAAAGATACTCAAATACTTTTCATGTATTTGTAAATTAACTGAATGTATTCACAGATATTTTCATTTATTTCTGGAATTTGTGTATTTGCAGCTGTGTTTTTGTACTTTTGTTTTATATTTACAGATCACAGACTGTTGGTCTGTTCTCACAAATAATATTAAGACAAATCTATCTCTAGTCAAGTTAAGGCGGTAAAAGATACTTTCAGATGACTAACACCACTGCAGATGCGATTACAATTGCAAGCAGGTCTTTCTTTATTACTGCTGTAATAAAAAACAAGTCATACCTCATTTACTGTGTATGTGACCTTACATGCAACAGTAATTTATTGCACTTTTCAAGACAATGAAAGGCAACAGCTTGTCGAGTTCACCTGCTACTAGTCTGAACAGCATGTTGAATGTTTCAGTAATGACTAATAGCACACTATTCCCCTTAGGGACAGCTCATCCATAAACAAATATAGCTCCGCTTCTACCACATATTCACATAACGTCTAAGAGAGACATTTTCAGCATCAAATCAAAACCGTTTTGTCCACCTGCCATTGTGCCAGATGGATTGTGAGCTTGTGAGTGAAGTAAATCAAGCAGTCACTTTCATATTTCACCAGCATTTGCCTGGTGCTTATTTCCAATCTCTTTTTAGCTGCCTCTAAATGAGCACAAGCAGGTTGGTTTATTTAAAAAGCAGTCTAGACTGAAGGATCCAGCTATGAATATTGTGGTAAAGATAGCTTATCTGTGCAGCAGTCCTATTGCTGCCTGTCAAGGTCAGTAAACAGGGCCAGTGTCATGTCTACCCACTGACACGGTTACCTCTGAGCAGGAAGGGTCACTCAGGGGAGGCTAGCTGTGTTTAACACACCGCACAGTGCGGATCACTCAGCAGATCTGCAGGACCTGCTAACGTGACTACTGGCTACCCTCATTATGGCGCCGTTGTTGCATTGGCAACGTGACAGCGATGTGGATACAGATTCATATCGACAGTACGATGAAGAGGAAACGTGTCCTAACACATGTGACAGGTGGTGTGACTGCCTCCGCAACATGCCAGGACGCGCCAACGTTAGTATTACATTCACGAGGGTAGCAAACTTACAGCTACTTAAAGGAGTTAACAAGATATATAATATGTTTGGCATTAGTTAACATGTTCTCCAAAGACAAACGAGGGTTTTCTGTCTTTCAGCAGAGCAGTCTTAGCACAGTAGTTGAAGATAAATCTGTACAATAAGAATTAACACCCCTCAGTTTGAAACCTCTGTAACTAAGTAACCGTTAGCTTCGTTAGCTCCGTTAGTCGCGGATAAATGTCTCACCTTCTCTTCACCACAGCTTCTCTGTCAGCCTTTGACACGAGGTTCCTCTGCTTGCTGCTTCCACGATATGTGCTCTGGTTCAGCCGGTGTCCTTGACCACGCTGCTTCCAGTTATACCTATCAGATTGGACCAACCAGCGTACTACTTTAACGTCACTTCCTTGTAGCGTGCGCCAAATTACACACAGAACTATCGCGAGATCTCAGTGGGGGCTCCACGTGCTGTTTGACATTGGTGTGTCAGAGAAGTGGCTGTGGATGTGTATAACATGGAGCAAGTGGTTTTTCTTGCCTCAAATGTTTGCACTCATATTATAGATGAAAAACAAGATCCTGTGAGTTATTATAGTGACAAACTTTATCACAATAATGACTTAGTGTCTTAAAATGATGAGTTAGTAACTCAAAGTAATAAGAAACTTTGTCAAAATAATGAGTTATAGCTCAAATTAATGACTTACTCATCTCAACATACTGACTTGTTATCTCAGAATAATAAGAAGCTTTATGAAAATAATGACTTAGTACCTAAAAAACATTAAAACTGTCACAAAAATTTGACTTGCTATCTCAATATACGGAGTTGGTATCTTAAAATTATGACTTGGTATACCAAAATAATAAGAAACTCTCTCAGACTAATAACTTAGTATTTCAGAGTAATGAATTAGTAACTCAAAATAATGAGACTTTATCAAAATAATGAGTTAGTATCTCAAAATAATTAAAAGTGTCTCAAAATAATGACTTACCATTTTGAAATACTGAGTTGGTATCTCAAAGAATGAGAAACTTTCTGAAATAAAAAAATAAATAAAAAATGAGTTAATATCTCAAAATAATGAGAAACATTCCAAAAATAATGACTTACTCATCTAAAAAAAATGACGTAGTATCTCAAAGTAATGAGCTAGTATCTCAGAATCACTAAAACTGTCTCAAAATAATGACTCACTATCTGGAAATACTGAGTTGGTATCTCAAAATGAAAAGAGGCTTTCTCAAAATAATCAGAAGTTCTCTTAAAATAATAAGTATCTCAAAAAATGATCGATTTTTTTCAATTTTTTTAATGTGTCAAAATATTGAGAAACGTTCTCATTCAATGAGTTGTTTCTAAAACTAATGTCTTACTCATCTCAAAAAAAAAGACTTACTATTTCAAAATCGTTAAAACAGACTTAAAATAATGAGTTACTAACTAGAAATACTGAGTTGGTGACATGTTATTTATGACATTTATGACATGGTATCTCAAAATAATGAGAAACATTCTCAAAATAGTGAGTTATAGCTAAAAAACAAAAAAATCAGCAATTCAACATAATGAGAAACGTTCTGAAAATACTTATCTAAAAAAAATTAGAAACATTACTTAGTCAATATTTTGAAACCATTTCTCATTATTTCAAGATATTACCTAAATCATTATTTTCAGAACTTACAGGATTTTTTCATTCATCATCATATTGGTGAAAATGGGCTTCTATACTTATTTTAATGAAGACGTTTATGTGAGCAGATAACTTTAAATGTTAAAACAGACAGCTCTTTTGGATAGTAAACAGAAAACCATGAAATTAAATAAGGTCATTGTCAGTGGTGAGAAGTTATTACATTTATATAGTCCCATGTCACAAATCACAGTTCGCTTTACAATCTGTGCAGCACACAACTCCTTCTGTTCTCAGACCCTCACAGTGGAGATGGAAAAATTCCCTCCAATGGAAGAAGGATGGAAAAAACCTCAGGAAGAGCGACTGAGGAAGGATCCCTCCCCCAGGACGAACAGAGGTGCAACAGATGTGCAGAATAACCAGCACGATAAAATTACAATATGGATAATCCATGTGACATGATGATACATATAAAGACGAGTCTATATTTATGAAAACTCCACACCAGTAGAGATAAAATGAGTAAAGCTTATGTTGCATAATAAACTTTTTGGGTTCCTGTATAGTATTTTGCATCGGGGAGAAGCCACCTCAGTCATGGATTACCTTGAATGACCCCCAGTGTGTCACAGACAGGTCGGCGACTTCAATGTGCAGCTCACCTTGAAATGAGAACAAGCACAACACCAGTGTGCCAAGCGCTAGTACCTTTCAGACCCACAGTCCAGCTGTGAAAACATCAGCTCTGGTAAAGGAAAGTGAGTGCATGCCTATTTAGTTTGGTCATCAGCGTGCTGACTAAGTCAGACACACAGATTTTTTCCAGTTAAGATGTCTGGGACCTTTTGGGCTCCTTCTTTTCTAATATCCACAAGTAATGCAGTTTTATACAACTTTAGTTAAACGTGCAGGATTTGGAAGCCAACAAAATTATTTAGTCAAAGTTAAAGTCAGTGTTTGATTGACCTTTACTCATCAGAAAAACAGCACATCTGTTCCAGCAGCTTGAAACCCAGACAGTATCAATAATTTGGTAATTATACCCCCAGGTGTTGTGTCCATACAGACAGGGCTGATACATCTACAGCTCCTGGGATTGGGCATTTGTGGTGGGCAGCAGCAGAGCAGACGCCAGTGGTAGTAAATTATTAGTAAGTCTTTGTAAACAGGTGGCTCTTTCTATTTTTTGAAGTATGGTTTTGCAATCTCATTACAACCCTGATTCCAAAGAAGCTGGGACACTGTGTAAAAATGTAAATAAAAACAGAATGCAGTGATTTGCAAATCTTTTTGGGGCTTTATCCAGGGGAAAGTTGTGACATGCTCACAAAAGTCTGGAACATGTCACACATAAACAGGAACTGGTAAAAGATTAATGTATCATGACTGGGTTGAAAAGAGGCATCCTCAAAAGGCTCAGCTGTTTACTGCATGGACTTTGTAATGAAATTAAAGATTTCACCATCTACAAGCCATGATATCATCAAGAGATTCAGACAATCTGCAGAAATCTCTGCATTCAAGGAGCAAGGCTGAAAACAAACACTCAATGTCTGTGACCTTGATGATGGTATAAAGGATATGACTACACAGGCTCAGGAACACTTTGGAAAACCATTGTCAGTAAACACAGCTCATCTCTGAAGCTACCAATGCATGTTCAGACTCTACCATGCAAAGTGAAAGCCATTTATCAACAACATCCAGAGACGCAGCCGACTTCTCTGGAATCTCATCTGAGATGGACTGATAGGAGGAAAGTGTGCTGTGGCCTGACGAGTCCATCATAGACGCTGTGTCCTCCGAACTACAGAGGAAAAAGACCATCCAAATTGTTACCAGCATAAAGTTCAAAACCAGCATCTGAGATGGTATGGGGATGTGTTAGTGCCCATGGCATCATGGGTAGCTTTGCATCTGTGAAGGCACCATGAAAAGTACATATAGGTTTTGGAGCAACATATGCTGCCATCCAGACAACGTCTGTTTCAGGGATGTCCCTGAGTGTCCCAGCAAGACAATCAGACACATTCTGCTTTTAAGTAACCGCCCAGGTACTATACCAGACCGGTGTCTCTCTGAAGTTGTCAAAAACTAACACTGTTCTTTCATGTTGGTATGATATGCTGCCGGTTGCCAGTCTCTCAGGTGAAAGCCGATGGTTGTTGGACACAACCACACCACCTTAGTTGGATTTTTTGCCCCATTAAAGTTTGTTGTTGTCCCAACATTGATGCTGCATGACGCTGTTAAACAATAATGGCCGGTACTGACTTCCTGTTTGAATGTAAATCCTCATGACACACAAAATAAGACAAAGGAGACCCCAAACTGTTGAGCAACTATAGTCGCATTTCAAGTAAGAATGGGAAAGCATTTCACATTCACAACTTCAACAGTTACTGTCCTCAGCTCCCAAACACTTACTGAGTGTTGTTAAAAGAAAAGGTGATGTCACACAGTGGTAAACATGCTCCTGTCCCAACTTGTGTTGCAGGTATCAACATTAAAGTTCATCAGTTTGAACATTAAATATCTTGTCTTTGTGCTGAATATAGGTCAGAAAGGATTTACAAACCATCACATTCTATTTGTATTTGCAGTGTCCCAGCTCTTGTTGAATCGGGGTTGTGTTTACCGTCACTTTTAATTATTGATTCTTGAACCTAAACAGCCTCTGTAAGGTTGTGTTATTGTCCCTCTAATTGTTCTTTTGGGTGTCTTCAGTAATTACATGTTTATGCCCAGTGCAGGCTGCTAATGTATATTTTGTGCAAACCAGTCTTTGGGAGGTCTGAGCTCAGGTTTAATAATTTTCCCACATTGTAATGTTCCCACATTTTGGGCCAAGGTCCATCAAGTGACATAAAATTATATCATGATACTATACTTTTTTCAGGTAGCTGTATTCAACAACCACCCCTTGTTTTCAGACACTTAAAGCAACTGTATATCTCCTGCTGAACAAAACAGTCGACTCCATGGGAAGATATTTCTGTCCTTTCCTATAAGGAGCCGTCTCACAGTCAAGGATTTAGAGTTCTGAAAGTTCAACAGCATTTTTCACAGCGAGTCGTCGTTGTAGTTTCATGCAGTCGCAGGCCAAGAATGTAAAGTCGCCATAGAGACTGTCGGCAGATTGAACTGTCTCTTTTTTTCTGTGTAATCATTACATGACACTCTGATGTGGCTGTTGTCGAGCAACAGCTAATAATGCCTGAGCCTGTGTTGTTTGGTTGAATTGTTAACTCGGAGGCAAATATGTTGGACGTGAACAGCACAGCAAGCTTTCCACATTACAGTACATGAAACTGCCACCCCGGCACCTCTCAGAATGAATATTAATGCAAGGTGGAGGTGGCTCTTTGCTTTCACTGGAAATGTCTGACCTCTTTTTTAAGCAACTAATAAACACATGACACAGACTCAGGAGGCTGCAAGACTAAACCACAGTGGTGAAATGATCAAGAAACACCTCATGCAACACCTTAGTTCCTTCCTTCATGTGAAAACATCCTCTTTGGTGAATGAATATAGGAACAGGCTTTTAGATTAGCACTAGATCTTGTTTTACTTGAAGTGCTGAGACAAAAAGTGTGGAAGCTACCTTTCAGTCTGTGATTGATTATGTTGACATACACTCACTGTTAATGCAAACAGCTAATCAGCCAATCACATGGCAGCAACTCAATGCATTTAGGTATGTAGACATGGTCAAGACGACTTGCTGAA